TAGTTCTGTTTCAGAAAGGTGAGTTTGGCACCAGTGCAGTGTGGCAGGGGTGGGGCAGAAAAGAGGGAAAGTATAGGAAACACAGGCAAGAACTGACTAGGCAGTATCAGCAGACATGTAGGGAAATGGGTGATTAAAGAATATCTAGAAACAAAAACAAAGACTTTGTGTCACTGACTTTGATGATACTAAAGCACTATTTTTAAATTTTTAGGTGTGACAATAGTATTGTGCTTATGTCAGAAAAATAATATTTTTTAGAGATACATACTAAATTATTTACAAAAGAAATTACACGATGTCTGGAATTTGCTTCAAAATAACGGGGGGTGGTGTGTAAAGGTATGAAAAAGTCATGAGTTGGTGGTTGTTAAAGCTAGTACTGTGGTTGATGCTGTGAGGAGAACCCAGATGTCTCAGGAATGAAACACTCATTCTTCTGGCTGCTGGGAGTGCAGCAGAAGATGGTCCTCAGCTGTCAGTCCTCTTTCAGGACTGTCTTGGCTGAAAAAAACTCCCTCACTAAAGGTCATGCCTTATTCTGGGGGCAGCCCACATCTAGTGACTGATCAGTGTAGGGGTGTCAAGGCCTCGCCTTCCCTGTAACAGGGGACAACACTCAAGGGCTATCCCAGGTCCAGAGCTCCCCATGTGGCTGCTGAAGGCCTCAGTTGGGACTGCATCTCGGCTCAATTTCTCTCTCCCCCACTTCTGCTTTTTCCCTTCCACATGTGTTGTTCCTTAAAGCACTCCCTAACAAATGGCCTGCCATCTCCATCTCAGTCTACTTCCCGGGGACCCCAAACTGCAAAGACACTTTGGCATCATTATACTATTCTCTTTACTTTTGCACATGTTCAGAATTTTCCACAAAGAAAATTTAAGGGGGGGTCTGGCCCTGCAGCGTAGCGGTTAAGTGTGCGCGCTCCGCTGCTGGTGGCCCGGGTTTGGATCCCAGGCGCACACCGAGGCACCACTTGTCAGGCCATGCTGTGGCGGCGTCCCATATAAAGTGGAGGAAGATGGGCACAGATGTTAGCTCAGAGCCGGTCTTCCTCAGCAAAAAGAGGAGGATTGGCAGATGTTAGCTCAGGGCTGATCTTCCTCACAAAAAAAAACTTTAAGGAAAGAAAAGGACTGAGTCAAACTGGATGTGGCGGACAAGGCTGTGGCAAGCAGCCTCTAGAGCTCTGGTTTTGGAGCCTGAGAGGTGCCATTCACTGAGCAGGGGATGCAGGAGGAGCAGCCATTTGGAGGGCACACGAGGAGTTAGTTTTTGAGAGGCCAAATTTAAGGTGCCTGTGGGCAGCAGTCTAGCCTGGATATAGATTTTCAAGCTAGACACAACTTATCAAAAGGAAAGGTAATGGTGACTTAGAACATCTTAAATGGCCAATAAAAATTCTATTTAGCTTTCAATTGTATTTGCACAATTATAGTTGAATGTATGAATTTCTCATAGAATGGGAATTAACCACATTCTTGATGGCAGGTAAACCTTCTAGAATATTTATATCACCCACAGGTCTTAGAATAACACCGTCTTAGTCCATTCAAGCTGCTTTAACAAAACACCATAAACTGGGTGGCTTAGAAACAACACATACGTATTCCTCACAGTTCTGGAGGCTGTAAGTCCAAGATCAGAGTGCTAGCATGGTTGGGTTCTAGTGTCAGCCCTGTTCCAGGCCGCAGATTGCTGGCTTCTTGTTGTATCCTCACATGGCCAAAGGGACGACTGAGCTCTGTGGAACCTCTTTATAAGGGCACGAATCTCAGTCATGTGGGTGGAGCCACCTCCTAATACTATCATCTTGGAGGTCAAGGTTTCAACATACGATTTTTGAGGGGACACAAACATTCAGACCATAGCAAACATCTTGGACTCAAGCCTTAGTAATTGTTCACTGAACGAATGGATTTCACTGGGAGAGCTCAGAAAATGGTCCTGTTTTCCTCATTCCATTCCTCTGATCATAGTTCTTCTCTGGTCCCATGTTACACAAGATCCTCTCCCACCTTCAATCATGTGTGAGTTGTCCTTGTGCAAACAGAGTGGTAAGTTTTAGGAGCAATCAAAGATGAATCAGATGGGAACCATGCTCTGAAGGAACCAAGAGTTTAGTAGGGGAGATAAGACATGCATAAGTGATCATGGAAGGTGAAAAAATGAGAGGTAAAGTAAGAAAGCTAAAGGTGACGTGACGTGGAAGTTCACAGGGGTGGCACATATTTGCAGTTGAACTTGCCTAGGAAGAGGCACAGCACCTACCCAGGCTGTGCTGGCTCCTCTCTGATTTGTGGTGTTAGTAGCTCAGTTTGATTGGTTTTTGCTTTAAATGTTCTACCAGCAGACCAGGGAGTTTATCAGGCAACAGTTTATCATGGCTTACCCCACAGCTTGTTCAGTGCTCCTGGTAAAGAGCTTGTCATAGCAGTTGTGTTACCGCACCAGGTCCATTTTTGCCCGCAGCCCAGAAGGCCAATCACCACGACAATGAGATTGCAGAGAGACAGGGTTTAATCACAAGGCAGCCAAGTGAGGAAAACGGGAGAACAAGTCTCAAATCCGCCTCCCGAAAATAGGGACTCAGGGGTATCTACGGAGAAGGGGGCAAGGTGGTCTGAAATGATTGGAGCTGAGGGGATATGAGGTAATTGATGATCTACGCAAAGCGTAGTCAGCCTTCACTGACTTCTTCACATGCCTCTTTGTAGGGCACATGTTCACAGAATGGTGGCATTAGCATGCCCTGAGGATGGGGTTCCAACCTCTTGCCGTCAAAAGGGCCCAGTTGATGGGTTGGTGGTCTCAACCCGGCCTGAAGTAGACAAGGGGTTCAGTTCCTGAAAAAAAAATAGCTCAAACACCCATTACCATGGTAACTCAGGCTCCAGGGAGATGTCATCTATAGGAACCTGGTGGGAGTCAGAGAGCATATTGCCCAAACAGCACAGTTAACAACGAGTAAGTTTATCATGCAGATTTAAGTCCTTGCCTTTCCTTCTGATAAGTTTCTAGGTAAGGCCATCCCCCCCTTCTTCCTGGTGCAGGGAAGAAGATACCTTTACAAACGGAGATTCTCTTTACAAATGTAAATGTCTCTCATAAAGTGTAACTAGAACTAAGAATGAGCTTAGCACAACCCACCCAGGTACCTGGAGATATCTATAGTAATAGCCTTTTCTGGGGGCAGGCCTTCCATCCCAAACTCCTTTGGTCAGTTGGTGGGGGTCAAAATGTCATTCAGGCAGAGACATATTTTGAGTTGGCAAATTCAAATCCCCCATAGTTACTAGCTGCTTAATCATCAATGGCTGTTTGCCGGTTTCAGTTGTATGTAAAACCATTTAAAAAAATCTGTTTCAAAGAGCAAATAATATGCAGAAATATTTGGAAAGGATCTCTACATAAAATAGTGTTTCTTAATGTTTTAATATTTCAAAGATCTCTAGAAAATAGATTTGACTTAGAGTCTAGTCTACTTGTCAGGCTATGTATGTTACTCAGCTTTTTAAAATGCATTACCCTTTGTGATAAACATTACAGCCCCCCCCCCCCCCCCTGTTCTCTTCCGTGGAGAAGCACCAGTTTATAATTACTTATTATATCCATAGGACCAAAAGAGTTGTAGCACTCTCCTTATATGGCATCTCTCTAATTAAATACAAACACACACGATGATTGAGGCTAACAGTTTTTATTAGTAAAAAGTATTTAAAACACCTTGACCACTTTTTAAAATTGGACTCTTACTTTCTAGGAAATTCTTTTGAAAAACCATAAACAATGAATTTTCTTGAAGGAAACAACTGAAAATAAAATGTAAAGACAGAGACAAGGTTATTTATCCTCAACAAACCTGGCTTCGTACTTTACAACAAACTGCGCAATCACAACATACTAATTTATCGTTAGTGCCATCCATCGGAGTGTGACTCCTGGTGACCCTGTGGACAGCAGAGCGGAACCCTGTCCTGTCCTTCTGCGCCATCCACTCACCCACCAGTGCTGTATGAGACACTGCTCCACTACTATTTACAGCGTTTTCACAGCCAATTTTTCTGGAAGTGGGTGGCTGGGTCCTTCTTCCTCATCTTAGTCTGGAAGCTCCACTCAAACCTGTCCACCATGGGGGACCTGCCGGTATTTGAAACATCGCAGGCACAGTTTTCAGCATCACAGCAAGACACAGCCACCACAGTACCAGACCCCACAGAGGAACCTACTAAATTACAAGAGATTAAATTTAAGGCCCCAAGTTTTTCCCTATTCTGTAAACTCACCTCCCTTTCTGTCCAACAAGTTTATCTTCTCCCAAAGGATTCTCAATAGTTGGCCTCAATAAGGGGCAGGCACACAACAAATTCAAAACCACTGCAAGACAAAAACAAAGCAAAACAAAATAAAACAACACCTGGTGCAGCTCAAGTTTCGACCTACTCAACCAGGGATACCTCAAAGTGCTTTACTTCAACTAAGCCTTTGAGAGCACCTTAAGAGGAGTATATTCAAATACACAACTCTTCCGTTTTGGACCGGATTAGTAGATGATTAATTTTTAAACAACTATTATACACTTAACCACGGTCCACAGCGTTACGAAACCTCAGATATTTTTCTTTTCTACAAAGCACAGCTTCACACAGCAACACATCAAGTCTCATTCCTTCATCCTGCCCCATCCAACCAAAAAGTTAGCGGCAGCGGCAGCGGCAGCGCCAGGCACCCGAGGCGGACGAGGCACCGCAGACAAAGGGCAGCGCGCAGCCCTCGCGCCCCCGCCCACCCCACCCGGGGCGGGGAGGGCGC